GTCAAAGGCAGAAAGTTTATCTCGAAAACATTTTAAAAAAAGGATTCAAAACAACGAGAAGTCGAGAACTATATTATCTGCAAAAATGTTTTGCAAAAACCAGGGGGGGGGTGAAAACTGCCGTGGGCTCAGAATTGAGCCTGGTCAGTGGTAACTACTATGAGAATAAAGTAAGTGTTGTCATGGAAATGGCGTCATTTTTCATCAAAATCCGCCATGTTTTTGCGGACACTTCGTTGACTGAACGAAGTATAGGAGCAGGTCCTCCAGTTATTATACAGCTCAGTGGGTGGAACCAGTGAACTCTATATATATATATATCTATATATATATATATATCTAGATATATATATATATAGAGTTCACTGGGTGGAACTCAGCCAAAAAAGTGTAACCGGCCGCCAAAAGCTTAGCCAGTGCGCGAAAGAGAGGCATTCACCCCCCCGAACTCAAATTTCAAGATGGCGCCCGAGTGTTTCAGAAAATAATCGGCACGAGAAACACTTGTTATTTTGCTCATAACAGTTTTCCTTTACTAAAGTTGTTATTAACATGTTTATATAATTCGTCCTTGAAAGATGTGTTGGTATGAGAAACCTTTGAAGATTATCTACCGATTTATATGGCACTGTTATTCATCGTAGGAGTGGTCGAGTGGAAAATTGAAATTCCGAAATTACCGAGAAATTAATACTCATGTGAGCCATGTCTAAAGGATTTAGAAGAAGTGTAAATGGTATAATAACTTATGCGCAGCTGGATATCGTTGTATTTAATATTTTGTGAAATACTTAGGCAGAAATCAGTCAAGATTTCACTATTTGAAACTATAGCAGTATATGGCACCCTGTTTATAATAGTGATAAAAAGCATAAAATGTGAGGGATGTTGGTTTTTTACATTTCAAACACGCTATATTAAAAAAAATATGATGTACATAGTTCATATTTCACATCGTTCAGGTTGCTGTTCTTTAAATGAATTTTGATTAGAGTTTCTGAATGAGATGCTGAAACAATGTGAAAGTTGGGTATTCTTTACTTTCATGTGTTGTGATGCAACATCTCGGCACATGGTGGTCAACTCTAAAAGGAAACACAGTTACCGGTGTGAGTAAATTGTTCACTATATGTCTTGACCTCATGTTTGCTGGTGAATACATGCAATTTAGCCTCATTTGCTCGCTTCCCAAGTCATTAGTATTGATACATGTAATGTTGACCACCATGTATAACCCTTGTATAACACCTTGATGTTACCAATTGTTTACATCAGAAGGTACATATGTGCATAACAGACTTAACCGTCTGTTCATCTCTAACCCATTGAGTCGCATTGTGCACTGATGCGCCCTATTTTATTATTTTAATCGCAGGGCCGTAGGTTCAATTCCTACCAGAGGACCTTGTGCTGCATTTTTCGCAGTCGTTCCTGGTCAGGTCTTAAAATGTATATAATCACTTGGATTACAAACCCTAACATTCTAATATTAATTCCACCAAGTGAAGTGCAAAGAAACCACATCATCCAAGTTCACCTTATCACAACCCGCACACCTGATTACCTATATTTACATGAACTTACGGTTACAGCTCAACAGCTGGCCTCTGTAGCTCAGTTGGTTAGAGCGCAGCACCGGAATCGCAGGGCCGTAGGTTCAATTCCTACCAGAGAACCTTGTGCTGCATTTTTCGCAGTCGTTCCTGGTCAGGTCTTAAAATGTATATAATCACTTGGATTACAAACCCTAACATTCTTTATTATTTTACTCTGTCTAACGCAAGATTATTTTACTCTGTCTAATGCTATACAATTTTACTCGTCAAGGGGAGAGTGCTGGCATTTAGTGGGTTAACTCGTCTATCTGCCCATGATGTGTCTAGTTAACCCATTGAGTCACATTGCACCCTACTTTATTATTTTCTGTCCAATGCCAGATGATTTTACTTGTCAAGGGGAGAGTTCTGGGTTAATATTTAAGTAGAATTAGCCTCTTTAAGTAGAATTAGGCAACTCTGTATTGTTTTGTATAATAGGTTTTATATTTGGGATTTTTTCCTCCCATGTTTTGCTCTCCCCAGGCCTAACACTATTTTGCTTGAAGCTCGACCAAAGTTTGATCATTTACAAAATGCATTTACAATACAAAACAAATAAGAGTTGAAAACCTGTTATACAAAACAATACAGAGTTGCCTGCAGAGGAGGCAAAAATAGAATATGATTTATAACAGCAGATAACATTGAATTGTAGAAATCGTAGAAAAATATAACATCCAAACAATTTATGTAAACAATGTATTTTTCAGTCTTTTCAATATATCCACATTTATCAAATGTTCATATTTTACCATTATTTGTCTGACACTCCGGGGCTTAACACTGATACATGTAGGATAATCTATGCTGAAAAAACTGGAGGTAAACAGTTGGGGGGCTGGAAAAATTCTTCAGGAGGGCCTTTACATGCAGCTAATGTAGAATTCAATGGCTTATTATTACCTACATTACAGGAAACAAAAACCTGAATCTATAGATTCACCTCTCACACTCTGGCCTATAGCCTCACTTCTACCTCCAGGGGAAGTGAAATTGTCACACTCACACATTAGTTCCTTCTATGGTGCATATGGATCAAGAATTTTAACAGTGTCAGTGAAAATATCCAACGTTTATTCAACCATTAATTCACCCTCAACCCATGCATGTACAGGCTGAAGTTATCTGGTATGCCTATATGCACATGGGGAAAATTTTGAGTACAAAAATAGAAGGTTGACCAACAATCTTGCTAGCATTTTTAATCAATACACCCAGGGGTGAAGACCTTGGAACTTCTTGAAGAGGGACATAAAAATCCATTTCAAAGGAATGTTGTCACCCAAATATTTGGCTTAAAAACTGTATTATGCATTTCCAGGGAGCTGGTTCAAAAATCTCTTGGAAAATATTTCCAGGGGAGCCAATGAAAAACATTATTTTTGGAGACTCCAGGATGTTTTGAAGGTCTTCACCCAAAATCACTACTTAAATACTGAACACTAAAAAATATTTGGGTTTTTATCAAATTTGCCAATCATTTGCTTCTTCATCATAACTTGCCCAGTCTACAAATGGGAAAAATTGTTGTCAAAAATGTTGTGCCTTGGGCAGGCATTACTTATTACTTGATTAGTCTATTACAAAGCCATGGGTAGCCTGTCCTCCCATCTAGGTGCATGCTTAACATGATTGGTGCATATAGAAATTATTTTGGAAAAGAATGTCACTATATTATTTCATACATACAAAATAAACTAAGCATCTGTTAAATTCTAATTATTATTAGCATTCACAAACAACAGTGTTACTACAGCCAGGATAGCAACAAAATATATAAATCACAGACAAAATATATAAATCACAGACACAGCTGATTGAGCTGAATGCTTATAAATGGAACTACTGAACTTAGTGAACTACAGTACATACAAGTATACAACTGTAAAATATCAGTAAAAAGTTGTAAAAACAGATTAAGTCATTAACTATATTCTGAATTCACATGACAATTGCTAATGTAACCCCCTGCACTCTTAATTCCTGATTATCAGACAAATAGCAAAAAAAAATTAGCATGAATGTGTTATTGTTAAGTTTTTAATAGTCAAAAGATTCACACCGTACCTTAAGATAGAAAACTTTTGCCGTTTGTCAACCAAATTCTTTGTCAAGCAAAGTTTCTTCCTTTCCACAAAAGATCCACGATATTTTACACAAATTTACAGGTATATTAAAGCTAAAATAGCCAAGCAGGCTAAGCCCATAAACCAAAATATGGCAAAATATTTACAATTCCCGCTCATATGAAAACAATTTTGTTGAAAAAAAAAGAAAAAGAAACTGCAAATCTCTCCCAGATTTACCTCTTCCCATAGGCAAACTTGAAAACAAAAATAATTCAACAAAAATCAGCGAGATTTCAAACAATATCCTTGATTTCGAAACAATTTTTTGCGGTCTTTTTAGTAAAAAAATGCCCGCCATTTTGTAAGTTTTCGGGGGGGTGAATGCCTCTCCTTAGCGCACTGGCTAAGCTTTTGGTTACACTCAAACATTAGCGTTTCGTAATACAGTTACACCTCTGTCCAGTATCTACTCTGTGCCACAGGGGGTCCAACTAAGAGCTGTGTTATGAATATGAATAAAACATTAATTAAACGTAATATGAATAAAACATTATAACGTAATATATTTAAATTATTGCACTTACTTGTATAAATCATAAGAGCTTGCCTTTGCACTGAATAGTTTCAAACAGAGCGCTTTATATATATACTCAGAATGATTGCTTCGAAAGATTGTTCAAATATGGCGAATAAATTGACAAAACGAAAATATTACATGACGTTCCAACGAAAATAACAGCAGGGATTGCGGGCGCGAGCGGAAGGCGAGGGTAATAGATATTAATAGAAGGGATGAAACACCGGTAATGCGATCGTGTGATGTGTTCCATAAGTAGCCTGTTCTCTCGGAAAATTCCAAAACGCCTCCTGCCAACTCCAACAACGCCTAAGCGCTTAATTAATGAAAATAAACAATGTTTAGCTATACCGGCTAATATGAAATATTTAAATGTAGCGACCAACGTTTTTTTTTACATTATTTAGATTTATTATTATTTCGTCATACGTCACGAGAACAGGCTACTTATGGAACACATCTCGCGAAAATGGCCAAGAATGCTCGCTGTTATAAATCACATAAATTAGATTGATCAGTGCTTTTTTGGTAATGACTAGGCTTGTTCATGTAAGAGAACATCGACTGAGCCTTAAAAAAAACCACAAAAAGCTTAAACGGATAGTCTAGAAGCATTTTAAAAAGTCACGTGATATTTGTTTCATCCCTTTTATTTATTTCTTCCCTCGCCTTTTCGCTCGCGCGCCCGCAATCCCTGCTGTTATTTTCGTTGGAACGTCATGTAATATTTTCGTTTTGTCAATTTATTCGCCATATTTGAACAAAGACCAACAATCGTTCGAAGCAATCATTCTGAGCATGTATAAGCGCTCTGTTTGAAACTATTCAGTGCAAAAGCAAGCTCTTATGATTTATACAAGTAAGTGCAATAATTTAAATATATTACGTTTAATGTTTTATTCATATTACTTTTAATTAATGTTTTATTCATATTCATAACACAGTTCTTAGTTGGACCCCCTGTGTTCGTAATACAGTTACACCTCTGTCCAGTATCTGCTCTGTGGTGCCAGTATCGATACTTTTCTAGAAATACTTTTCTTCAAAACCCTGGTATCGATAGTATCGAGTATTTGGTATCGATATCGGCCCATCCCTAATTAATAAAGCGAAATCTCAAAGTCTATGAGTCAAAATAAACCATTGGTAATGGTACATCGGAAAATCTCTAACGGTCGGTCATACAATTCAAGAATTTGCTCGAGAAAGCCAACGTTCAAGTCAACTTGGTGAATATGAACTATGAAGGTATATGATCAAACAATATGGTGAATTGGTGAATTGCCAAATAGAATATTTGTTGTTTTCGTGAAATCTGAGATGTATTTTTGTGGGGAAGCCGGAAGCATTATCAAGCATAGGAAATTTTACACTTAAAAATAATATGCAAGATTTTTTCTGTGTTGGTGTTGTGTACTCGGGTGAATATGATGTTTTTGATGTTACTCTGAGTGTATTATATATCCATACCGGACAAGCTTGAAAAATATGCCTGGCTACGGTGGGAATCGAACCTACGACCTTTGGAATACTAGCCCAATGCTCTGCCAACTGATTTCGATTTCCACCGTGGCCAGGTATATTTTTCAAGCTTGTCCGGTGTGGATATATACACTCAGAGTAACAACAAAAACATAATATGCAAACATAATATGCAAATAAATTCCTTCTTATATATTGTGATTTTTGAAGCGAGTCTGTTCTTAGGGACCGGTGTCCCAGGATTTTCGCCCCCCCTACATTTTCGCCCCCAGGCCTAGGAATTTCGCCCCCCTTTAGGAAATTCGCCCCCCCTTTAGAACTTCACTTTCTCTTTAGGATTTTCGTCCTCCGTTCAATTTCGCCCTTCCTAACAGTTGCATGGGATAATTATTACATAGCTGTAATTTAATCATTTGAAATCACTATCAATTCAAAATTGTTAAGACAGAGGAGAGCTTGAAATAACAACCGATCACCGATCAATATTCGGCAAGGAATTGCTTATGATCGGCGGAAAAGCAGGGTTTCGGTTTCCAACCTGAAAAAAGCAGGGAAAGTCATGACTGCCGATCACCATGATCGGGAACTTTGGGAACGTTATTTCAAGCCCTGCATGTAAGAATGCAAATTTACAATTACATGTATCGAAAGGGCTTACACAGTTACAGTAGATCACGCTTCACAGATATGACGCTTCACAGCACACCATGCATATTTTGCATTTTCAGTGTTAATTAAAAAGTAATCACCGTGGTGGTTATTGTAATTATTGGTATTGATTTGCATCCACGTTTTGTCGTTATTGGAAAATGTGTGGCTTATAAGTTGTCACTATTTTTTACTTGCATTATTTCAATATAGTTTGTAAATCTCAGAAGCGAAGGATAGAACTTGCCAATAGGCAATATTCCAATAATATACGTTTCAAAAAAGACAAAAAAGCTTTTAGTTTTGCAGAGTTACATTCTCAAATGTTTATGGCACTAATAAAATCAAAGTATAATGAAATTATTTGAATAATATATAAACATATATAATGCAATTTTCTTTGCGGAAGTCAAGAATCAAGATTACATCACTATAGATTTTTTATTAATCCTACAGTTTATTGTTAGCAAGTGATTACTGTGGCGGTTATTGTTAACACTGGTATTGATAAAATTTGCAAGCGATTGTTTTTATAATATGTTATGTGAATGTAAACTGCCAGAAGAATACGACAACATGATTTTATGCGATCTCTGTGGGCAATGGTTCCATTTTAGGGATATTCCTAGGAGATTCGGGGGGGGGGCGATATTCCTAGGAGATTTGCCCCGGGGGGGCGAATATCCTAGGAATATCGCCCCCCTTTTGAGAGGGGGCGAATCTCCTGGGGGGGGGGGCGAATCTCCTGTGACACCGGTCATTAATTACAGGGGAGG